TTAGGTTCCTCTTCCCTTTGATAGTTTTCCTACTGGGGAAGAGAGCGTGAGGACAACACAGACTTTGAGATCAGATCAGCCTGGTTTAGGACCCAGTTCTGACAGCCACCAGTTGTGTGTGGTGTTGGGCCTGCACCATCACTGGTTAAGAAAAAGAGTGTCACCATGGGATGCAAAGGGAAGACCTGGTCCAGCATGGATGGTCACTAATTGCCAGGTTGTCAGTATCCACACAAGCCCTACCCATCCCTCTGCGTTCCCTTTCCCATCCACAACTGTAGTCTCTGGCCTCCACCCTAGAGCAAGAGCCTGTCACTGTGGAGATACTGACCCTCTGCATCTGAGACCCTCACGCAGTTACCCACAGGTCAGTTGAGGGGCTCTCCTGATGGGAGCTTCAGGATGTAGGATGACCATAACACAGCTCTTCGGAGACAGACCAGCGCTTCACAAGCCTATGAAGATGGCCCCAGCCCACTGCTCCCCTAAGGCTCTTCTCCTGGACTACTACAACCTCAGCAGACTTCCAGAGGCTCTGAGGAAAGTGATTTGCCTAGGGCATGCACTAGCCGGGCTCGGCAGAGCCAGTGCTGTTGGTCTTTAGGGGCTACACCAGCCACTTGCCTCTTCATTAACACTCAAGTCTGACATCATACAGACCAGACATGAGTTGGAAGGGGCTGTGCTACCTAGTCACTGAGAAGTGTCACTGCCCTACCCCTGTCTTTGGAATGTGATTTTATCTATACCTTTTGTGGTGTTCTTTGACCCCCCCCAGGCAGAAGTGCCTAATCTTATCTGTTCAGTTTTGTTCAGTCAGAGACACATGGGCTGGCCTAGGTTGACCCAGGATGGAGATGACTCAGCCCTCGACCTGCCCTCCTGGGGTTCCAGACAGGTGACCACAACAGAATGAGGATAGGGTTCCCCAGGCTCTCGAACTGGAGCAGTCTAAGAGGGACTTTGGACTTGGTTGGCTCTGCAGGCTGGGTGCTCTCTCCCATCTCCTGGCCCAGTCTTGTAGGCTACTAGGAATGGTTGCTTTCTCAGTGCCAGCTGAAACTTTTTGGGGACTGATGTCTCTCCCTACCCCATATGATCTATTTTGCCCCTTCTGCCTTGAACTTGAAGTTGGGTGATAGCCAGCGAGGGTCAAAGAGGTTACCCCACATTTCCAGAGTGTTCTCTGCCCTTTGCTGCCATCAGAAAGCCTCAAGACTATTGGGCCCAAGCCTCCAGGCTGCTGGCTCCTTGGGCTTTTAGGGCTGCCTGAGGCAGACCAGGCCGGGACTGGGCCAACAGACAGCAATAGTGGCTTCAGAGGTCACAGAGTGCCCTGGGGAGGACAAGATGACCTGAGCCCCAGGTCTGAGCTACCACCATGTTCTCCTCAAAAGGCACAAGCAAAATCCCAGCACGGGGGAGGCAGATGCAGTTGACTCTCCGAGTTAGAGGCTAGCCTCATCTACAGATGGAGTTCCAGGACGACCAGGTCTACACAGAAAAACCCTGTCTCAGAAAAAAACAAAACAACAACCAGATGTGGTGATGTTACATACCTATAACCCTAGGACTGCAGTGATAGGAGTATTTGAGATGAACCTACGCTACATGAGGAGACTTTGTCTCAAAAACAAAATAGCTTGATAACTAACTAAAAAGAGCTCTCTCTCTCAAGCCAGGGAACTCCCCGATAAAGGGAGAACAAGGACAAGGTTGGTCCACTCCTGGTGACTACTCTCTTCTGTCACTCCAAGGTATTCTGTAAAACACAGTTCATGAGCTGAAAGATGTTTCTATGTGAAAATCGTACAGCCCCGCAGTCAATGTCACTACCTAGAATGTTGATGCAGGACAATGATGCTCTGTCTCTAGGTGCCTTCCTCTGATCCTCGGTTGCCACGATGGTCAGGTTTCCATGAGCAGCACCTAGAGACCTGGAAACTATCTCCTCGACTTCAAAAAATTGTGTAACTGGTCAAATGAGGTGATGTCAGTTTTGCAAACCACAAACCAAAGGCTCTGGTATGGTGGCACATACATGTAATCCCAGCAACCCTCAGGGAGAGAGCTGGGATGACTGAGCATTCAAAGCCTACAACATAACATCCTGTCTCAAGAACAAAACGGAAACCATAAGGTCCCAAAACATAAAAAACCAATAGCTCACTGGTGTAGAGTGGCAAGCGAGCCCTGGCACCATGTGCCAGACCAGCTTCTCGGACTCCTCCATTAGACCGCCCAGCTCTGTGCAATCCCAGAGGCTGGAAGGATGCGGGACAGGAAAGGAAAAGGCGCGTTGGGGGAGGCAAACTCAGGAGCACCTAGAAATCCCACTCCTCATAGAAGCATAGAGAGTGGGCTCAACCACTGTTCTGGTCCCTAGGCCTGCTGAGCTGCCTGGAGAGCCTGTCCTGGAGGACCCAGTCACAAGCCCAGAGAGCCAGGTCCTACCAGTTACTGCACCTGAGCTGTCCATCAGCCTTCTACCTCACCTTCCCTACTCCCTTCCCTCCCCTGAGGTTGCTCTGAGAAACAGGCTTAGAGTCAAAGCAAATCAGAAGGCGAATAGGGCTCTTCAGAGAAGGGTCCATGTTCCCCATTTTCCTCTCTGTGGTGAAGCATGGGATTTGCACCATAGTGGCCAGAGTTGGAGAAGAGCTGTGCCTCCCAAGGGACATCATTTATCAATTTTCAGTGAGTCCTTCTGCATGCAGACTTGGAGCTGAGCTCTTGACCTCTATCGGCTGGCTCGCTCTTCTATAAACTCAGGAAGGGACTGTCAGTTAAGGAAGCAGGCACAGAGAGGGTAGGGGACTTGCCCAAAGGCACACAGCTGTACGAGGCAAAGGCTTGGTTTGACTGCTGCCAGTCTGGCTCCAAAGTCCTCACTCTCTCTTAGCCAAGTTGTGACACCAACTGCTCTCTGATTTGCTGTTTTCCCAAGTGGTCTAATTCAGTCCCTGTGACACCCCTCCCCCTAAGTGCCATTAGTCTCGCTTCGATCCTACCGGGTAGATCTGAAAAACTCTCCCTTCGACCCCAGGCTCTGTTGGGAACCCCCCAGAAGGCTGGAATTGGGTATTTCGAGGCAGCTCTCGGCAGACCCGCACACTGGCGCGTTCCAACGCAGGGACAGCGCAAGGCCAAGGGTGAGGGCACTCACCTCTGGGAAGGCCCCGTCGGCGAAAACCATCATCAGCGAAGTCTTCCCGCAGCCCCCGTCGCCCACCAGGACCACTTTGACCGAGCACCCGCTTAGCGGCGCCTCTTCTCCCGCAGCCTGGGCCGCCTTCATCCCGGACGGGCGAGCGGACAGCCGAGCGCAGAGCAGCGGGGGTGCGCGGCGGGCTGGCTGCGGCGGGCGCGGGGCTGGCCCGGCGGGACAGGAATGTGGAAGGGGCGGGGCGGCGGGAGGAAGTGGGAGCGGGGCGGCCCGGGCAGGAGGCGGCCCGGGGGGCGGGGGACACCCAGCTCAGGTGAGAGGCTCTGACCAGGATGGGGGTGCGGCGGCCAGTCAGGCGTGGAGCGCTCCTGGGGCACGGTCTCCTGGCGTCCTATCTGGCCTTTCAAGAAACACTTTTGGAGTGCCTACTGTGCGCAGTCATTGAGGCCACAGGGGTGGGCGGAGACCTGTGCCTCCAGAGGGCACCCAGGACTCCTGGGAGAAAAGATAAGTAGACAGGTAGTTGGAGTGGAGTGGCAAGGAGGGAAAAAGCACCTGGCCTGGCCCATCGCCATGGGAGGGAGGTGATCTTTTATGAATGAATGGAATGAATGAATGGAATGAATATGAGTTTCTGTGCTTGGGGACCTAACAATCTAGGCTTCCTCCATATATAGGTCAGATGAGAAGGGAGTAGCCCGGGCTTGCCCTTGTGGGTCACTGCAGGACTTCGACTTCAATGATGGTGAATTACTACCTCTCTCATCCAGGCAAGCAGTGATCTAGGGAAAACTATGGAGCCTTCCGTCAATGGAGCTCATTGCAGGCTGTGGCATATGGGTAATGCCATGAGTGGTTCTTAGTACAATACTTTAAAATTTTATTTTTGTGTGTATGAGTGTTTTATCTGCATGTATGTCTGTGCACTACGTACCTGGTGCCCTCTGCCCAGTTATGAACCACCACATGGGTGAACCTGGGTTCTCTGGAATAGCAGTCAATGCTCTTAACCTCTGGATCATCTCGTCAGCTCCTTGATATAATATTTAATCAACACAGATGGTCCTGAGTTTCCAAGAGTCTGGGGGCCAGAAGGTGGTGGCGCATGCCTTTAATTCCAGCACTCAGGAGGGAGAGGCAGGTGGATCTCTGTGAGTTCCAGGCCAGCCTGGTCTACATAGTGAGATCCAGGACAGTCAGGGAAACCCTGTTTCGAAAAAAACAAAAACAAAACAAAAAATCTGGAGACATTGCACTGTTTAAGTCAAAACCTCTACTGTGAAAAGCCCAGAATGTGAGACATCAGTGTGAGAATAACTACCTGAGGCAGGAGGACAGGAGCAAGACAAAGGGACTCCTCTCCTGGGGTAGACAAGAAGGACCTTTCTCAAGGCAGAGGCCGAGTCCTTTTTTTTTTTTTTTTTTTTTTTTTTTTTGGTTTTTCGAGACAGGGTTTCTCTGTGGCTTTGGAGACTATCCTGGAACTAGCTTTGTAGACCATGCTGGTCTCGAACTCACAGAGATCCACCTGCCTCTGCCCCAAGTGCTGGGATTAAAGTTACAGGTGTTTCAAAGAGGCTGTCGAAAGATAGCCCCGCCCCCACTTTCCCCTCGATGGGATAGAGGGCGGGGTTTGGCTGAGGAGCTGGTATCTGGATGGTGGAGCATTTTGAATTTCAGGAATAAATCCAATACTGAGCTGGAAACTTACTGACGTCTAAGTCCCGCATATATACATAACCATATATTATATATTTAATTAATGTTTAGTGGGCATAAGTAGGCTGGGAATGTAGCTTTTTTGCTAGAATGCTTAACTAGCATGCACGAAAGCCTGGAGTCCATCCCCAGTACCACAAAAGCTGAACTTGGAGCTGCATGCTTGAAATTCCAGTACTGCTGAGGTGAAGGCAGGAGGATCACAAGTTCAGTCACTGTCAGCTTGGCTATACAGGAAGTTTACCGCCAGCCTGGACTGAATGTCCTGTCTAAAAAAGCGGGAGAAGGGTCTCTCTGTCTCCCCAGACCTCGGGCTGGATGTTTACATGGAAGCTAAGTAGAACTGAGTCGGAAGTCTTTGGGTTTCACCTCCCACACTGGTCATGACATCACCCCCATGGTGTTCAAAAGCAGGTGAAAAGAATCTTCAACCCTATTTGATCCCCACTGTGTCCCAAGAAAGCAGTTTCCCTCAGGGCGGTGGCCACAGGTCAGCTGCATGGAGGGAACCTCCCAGGACAGCTCCACCTTTTGGATGCCCCTTCCCTGAAACTGCCACAGGGCTGGGCAGGACGTGGCACGAGGCTGGGTGTGTAGCTGAGCAGGATGCCCCGTCTAAGGAGTGGCGGGGAGGGGCCCTGCTCCCCTCACCCCAGTCAGCGGTCAGTGTAGTCACCCCTGCTGCTGCTGTCACCGAGCCAGCCTGGGAGGCAGGTGGAGCCAGACCAAGGGTGGAGGAAGCTGAGAGTCAGGCAGAGGCAGTTGGCCTTGGTTGCTGTAGGGATAATCACCCTAATGACACACTTGACAACTGTCACACTTTACAGTTTCTCTGCCTGCCTCCTAATAATAACGGCACCCACTGATGGGTGGTAGCTGCTATGCAGAGACTGTCCACCAGGAGGCAGGAGTCGCTAGCTCCATTCTACAGAGGTGGAAACTGAGGCCTAGAGAGGATAACTTCTTGTTTAAGCTCCAATGATAATTAAGAGGCCGGTGGCAGCACATGGACCCAGGTAAGACCCTAAAGCTGCCCCCAAATATTACTTCTTGTGCATTATTGCTCTTAGCTCTCACACTGTGAGGCAGGCTCAGTGGATGGTCCTGTTTCTTGTTTTGCAGACTGAACCCCAGGGGGAGGCTGTGGTTTAGATTAAGCCACTAAGACATGGAACCGGGACTTGGTCTCCTCCATATCCGGCCCAGCCTCATCAACACTGTATGCTCAGGCTCCTGCAAGAGGCATATCAGTCAGTCATTGACCCATGGCCATCTGCCCTGGTGGCCAGGAATTTTCCCAAATCTGACATTACTGGACTCTGGACTGCACTGTTTTCCTGAAGTTTATTTTTGGAGTGGGGAGGTGGCCCAGGCCACACAGTTGGCCTCACCAGGGTGCTGTTTGCTGTTTTTCTGTTTATTGTAGCTGCGACTGACTTCCGGCCTGTGGGTGACTCAGCCCCCTCCAGGCCCCATCAATCCCAAGCCCAGAATTCTTTATGAACCCTGTGTAGCATGTGACTGCCCTGCAGACCTCAGAACAGCAGCGGGGGTGGGGCCAGCATCTGTCTGGAATGCTGTTCTTGGGGATGCAGGCCTCCAGCAGAGCCATGACCACCTCAAGAGCAGGGACCACGCTGACCCATTTCTGTACCCCAGACTATCTCAGGCTGGCGCCAGCTGTGGTTCCGGATATTATGTCTAATTGACAGCCTGGCTGGACAAACACAGGAAGAGAAAGAAAAGGACAGAATGAAGAAAAGAGGGGGGAAGGACAAGAGGAGAAAACCAGGGAGAGGGGGAGGAAGAAGGGAAGGGAGGAAAGAGGGGTTTGGAAGAACAAACTGGCCAAATGACTGAGTGTTGTCGGCGCCTGTAACCCTGGCACCCCGGAGACAGGCGGTTCTCAAGGCCAGTCTGGTCTACATAGCAAGTTCCAAGCTAGACAGGGTTACATAGTGAGACCCTGCCTCGAAAATAACAAACAAATCAATGAAAAATAGATGAAGGATAAGCACATATAAATGTGACCAGGGGTGGGGCATATTCTGCAGCCTCTGCTTGCTCCAAGGATAGACCCCTAACTTTCAACCCCGTTTACCCGTCTGCCTCTGCCCCTCCCTGCTGCTAGGCAGCTCAGGCTCTTCTGACTCTTTGCTGCCACTGTGTGGCCACTCTGCTCTCTGCAGGTCATCACCAGGGCTTTGCCCTGGGCTTTCTGGCGTGGGTGCTGGGTGTTTGTGTAGATATGGACTTGCCTTTGGGGAGCCTTAGCAGTGCGACCTGGGGTGCAGTTCTCCAAGCCTTTGTACGTGCGCTTTATGCCCCCCTTAAACCATTAGATCCCAGAAGTCCTTGGACTCAGACTGGACTGTGCCACTCAAAACTTTGCCCTCACATAAACTGAGCACATACTGTGTGCCAGACACTTGGCACATGCCACTTCATTCTGCCCTTTGAAGTACATGCGATTCCTATGCGCCTTTGGAGAATGAGGAAACGGAGGCCCAAAGATGAGAGATACTTTAGTCAAGGTCCAGTTGGCAGTTAAATCTGGACATTGAGTTCCAGAATTTGTCCATACAGAACCCTCAGAAATTATGCCAGGGAGGTGGCAATGCCTGTAATCACAGCACTTGGGAGGAGGGCAGGGGAAATAGGGGTTCAGTATTGTCCTTATCTCTATAGTGAATTTGAGGTCAGTCCAGGATTTGTGAGACCCTGCTTCTAAATAAAAGGGCAGGGGGCCACTGGAGAGATGGCTCAGTGGCTAACGGCGCTTGTTGCTCTTGCAAAGGTCCTTGGTTCGGTTCTCAGCACCAGATGGTGGTTTACAGCCAGTAAATCCAGTTTCAGGGTATACTATCCCTCTTCTGACCTCTGTGGGCACTGGGCACACACATGGTACTCATACATTCATATAAAATACCCACTCTACATATACAATAAAATTTTTTAATTAAAAAATAAAGTCAGAGCCAAGTGGTGGTGACACACGCCTTTAACCCCAGTACTCGGGAGGCAGAGGCAGGAGGATATCTGTGAGTTCCAGGCCAGCCTGGTCTACAATAGTTAGTTCCAGGACAGCCTCCAAAGCCACAGAGAAACCCTGTCTCAAAAACAAAAAACAAAACAAAAAATAATAATAATAAAAATAAAGTCAGAGGTGTGAGGAGCCCTTTATGGGCCAACTTGTCCAACACTCTTCATTTTTCAGTTGGAGAAACTGAGGCCCTGAGAGTGAAAGTAACTTCTCACGCAGCAGGTAAGCAGTCCCAGGCCTATGTTCAGGAGAACCCAGAGGGTGCCCCCTCCCAAACATCCTTCTGTGGGAGTCCAGCTCCTAGCTGCACAAGCCTCCTGCTTGGCTCCTCCCCTTCCCTTCTACTGTCTGGCTTTCCCTCTAGGAAGGGTGAGCCAGGAATTGGGGGAACTGAGCAGGGAGGGAGCACTGCGGCCCCATCTCAGCACTCATTTAGGCCCCTAATGAACTCACTTTGGGTATCTGCAAGCACAGATGGGTGGGCTTGGGCAGGGGAGAGGAACCAGTGGGTGCTGAAAGAACATGTCTTCCTCTTCCCACGGGCAGGCCTCCCTCTGGCAATACTATTTCAGCTACTGACATCTTTCCTCTTGGGTGAGTTCTTAGAGAGAGGGGCCCCAGACTCTGAAGGCAGTCCATAGACCTGGGCGGGAGGAAAGGGGGGAAAGGGTGGGAGCTTAGGGACTTAGGGACGGGGTTGGGGGCTGGGGAGGTGAGGGGGTCAGAAGGGGCGGGGACATCAGGTGAAGAGTCATAAAGAAGATGGGGGATGCTGGCATTGCCTCTGACAGCCTCAGCCACTCTGCTTCTCTCCAGGAGCACCTCTGATTATTTTTTTAGAAAAAAGATTTTATCTATTTGTACTTTATGTGTATTAGTGTTTTGCTTGCATGTATATAAGTGGATCACATGCATGACCTGGAGGAAAAAGGAGGGCTCCAGATTCTCTGGAAGCGGAGTTACAGACTGTTGTGAGCCGGGTGCTAAAAACCAAACTGGGTCCTCTGATAGAGCAGCAAGTGCTCTCAACCTCTGAACCCTCTCTCCAGCCCTGAGTACCCCTCATTTTGAGTACTCTTAGTGAACTCCTAAAGATAACTGAGCGGCCTGCCTCCCTGCCCCTCTCTGCTTATAACTATGCTTGTTCACTTCCTTTCCTGGTCCTCACCCCAACAAGACCTGCTGTTGCTCCAAATGTTTTCCTGGCTCCCTCCTGCCATCAGAACAAGGGATGCTGGGAGCATCCATCTCCATTGGCCTCTCAAGTCTCTGTCAGGCTACAGTTCTCCAGACATTCGACACCAGTCTGTGGTCTGTGACCTATGGTCTACTGGAAATGCTAGGAATTTAAAATTTTCTTTATTCTTAAATCAGGCCGTGGTGGCAGCAGTGGTCACCTATGGCTTTAATCTCAGCACTAGGGAGGCAGAGGCAGGCAGATCTCTGAGTCCAAGTCAAGACCAGCCTGGTCTACAGAGAATTCCAGGACAGTCAGGTCTACACAGAGAAACCCTGTGTGTGTGGGTGGTGGGGGAAACGACCAAAAATTTCTTTGTTCTTGAGAATTCCATACCCACATACAATGCATAGGATAAGATCTGCCTTATGGACCCCTTACTGAGGCTGGGAATTCTTTTTTTTTTAATTAATTTACTTACTATGTACACAGAAGAGGGCACTAGATCTCATTATATATATAGTTGTGAGCTACCATGTGGTTGCTGGTACTTGAATTCAGGACCTCTGAAAGAGTAGTCAGTGCTCTTAACCTCTGAGCCATCTCTCCAGCCCCAAGGTTCTGGGAATTCTTACCTAGCTTGTGAGCTCCCAGGGGAAAGATAAAAAGGAGAGGAGTCTGAGTATCCTGGGATCCAGAAAGTCCAGAAAGTTCTTTTTTGTTTGTTTGTTTTTTGTTTTTCGAGACAAGGTTTCTCTGTATTGTTTTGGAGGCTGTCCTGGAACTCACTCTGTAGACCAGGCTGGTCTTGACGTGGACTCAGAGATCCGCCTGCCTCTGCCTCCTGAGTGCTGGGATTAAAGGTGTGCGCCACCAACACCTGGCTATCCAGAAGGTTCTTAACTGCACTTCAGTGACTTCCAAGGAGTTGGAGAAGGGGCCGTGTGTCCTCCCGTGTGTCCTCAGGTTTGAGAGCATGGGCTTTTGAACCCTATAACCTGAACTTGAATCATAACTGTGACTTTCTGGCTGTGTGATCTTAGGCCTGTTACTTAACTTCTCTGAGCTGTGGTTTCTACATCTCTACAAAGGGAATGCCACAGTTGCCTGATTTTCAGGGCTGCTGGACTGCAGACTGAGTGCCAGTTCTCAATGACGTTGTAAGGGAGGCCCTTTATCCCTTTTTGGCCTATGTTCTGCCTCCCTGATCTTCTGCCCCTTCCCTCTGAGCTAGCAAGGCAGAGAACTCTGCCTAGTGTTGGTCCTTTCCTGCCCTCTTCTAATGTGTTCTCTACTGGGAATGCTTTTCCTGCCTTACATATTGAATACTCAACTAAGTGCCACTACTAAGAAGCCTTCCTTGATTTCACCATCCCTATCTTTTCCTACCAGGAATGGTACTGGGGACCTCTCTTCAGAGCCTCCCAAGTAGATCCATGACTGCCAGCAATCCGGGAAGTACAGCAGAAGTACCCTGTGCAGCCCACGGTCTAAGAAGGTTCCCAGTGAAGACAGTAAAATGCCTCTAGGCTGAGCAGGGCTCCGTGGAAGGCCCTTTCCTGCTCCGGCTTTATTTTGGTTCCAGAGTCATTGCAGTCAGCATTCCTGGTCACCGCCACAGCCATCTGAGCACACTGTCAACGTCTCATGCAGCACAGAAGGAAGGGACAGGGGGATGGAGGTTGGGGGATGGAGTCTGCCCTGCAAAGCCACTGGATTACAGTCTGGGGCTTCCAGATGACAAGGCCTGGCCCAGCCACCACTATCCTTGGTCCAGCAGTCACCTCTTGATATTTATTGAACACAGCCTGAGAAACCTGGCTTCGGCAGGGTCCAGTTGTGGCAGGTGTCCTGCCTCCAGTCCTATAGGCCTGTGTCCCTGTTCTAGCCGCCCTTCCACTTGTCATTGATGGTAATTGATTAGACCTGGGTCTCCATGGCTCCTCATTGGATCTGAGTATTCAAGATTCATTAGAACCAGAGGCAGCTACCTGAGCCCTCTTCTTGTCACTCCCCATGGCTACTATTCTTTTAAATCTGCAGGTGCCAGAGAGAAGAAGCCAAAAGCCACTTCTCTGGGATTGTCATTATCAAATGATATTTATGACACCTGTAAGGATGTGATACCCCCTCCACTAATCCTGACCAGATGGAGCCAATGAACAATTCTGGTAGTGACGTACAACCCGACCTTTGGCTTCTGAACACCATTTCCCCAGAGTCCCGACTGGCTCCAGACTAAGGCTAAGTATTCCTGAAATTTCAGTGTTAGGCAACTTGACCTAAGATGCTCGGTACTACTGGGAGTGAATTTAGGCCTGCCTGAGAGCTTCCTTTCAAGAGAGGCCGGGCCTGGAGGGACACCAGCCAATGCTGGTGGATCTGTGCTGATTTTCATTGGATTCAAACACAAGGGCCTGGATCTGGGCCTCTGGGAATTTCTGGTTCTCTCAGGGTAGAGGGTCGGGAGACCTTTCATGTGGTCTGCAGGATTCTGCTGGGCCTGGGCTCCTGGCCTTTTTGTCCCCACTACAATGGGTAGAGTATGTGTTTGGGATGGGCTAGTTCATACCCCTTCTATTGCTTGACTGTTCACTACAACTCCCACTACCCCCACTAAATCTGGGTGTTGTTTACTCCCTAATCCTCAAAGTGCAGCTCCTTCCTTGTCTGAGAGGTCCTCCCTGTCTCCCCAGACCCCAGGACTCCTTCCCAAATCCATCTGGCTGGGCAGTTATTTGATTAGCACTGAGCCGATCAACCAGAATGGGAGAGGGCCATCTTGACTTCCTGGCGAGGCATCCTGGGTGCTACGTCTTGTTAACTAGTGTTAGCCCTGTCAGTACCGGGACTAGCCCCTCAAGACTTACTAACATCTGGCCCCTAAGAGAATTGCAGAAGGGGGTTGGCCAACTCTGAAGCCCATATGCTTCTGCAGGCTAAGGGACATACTTCATTAGGCTTTCTAGGTCATTCTGCTGGGTCCCCAGCCAGCTCCAGGTAGTCATTAGTGGAGAAATTACCCTAGGTCCCCAGGTGAAGAGCCACACCCATTCCTCCATGACAGTCTGGACAGAGGGTTCAAGATGGCTGATGAGGACCCCCTGGGAGGTGGGGCAGCCTCAGTGTTCATAGCTCCAGCTGACTATGGAGAGGGCATCACTGGATAGAACTGAGATGGTGACAGGCTCTGGTGACTCTGCTGCCCATATTGCCTGCCCTGGCTGCTAGTTTCGCCGGACTGGGTGCCACATGGACACAGGTCTGCGCAGCGTGGCCAGCATCTGGTTCCAGTGTGTGGTGCCCATGCCGCTGGCCGCCGGCCCAATGATGACATGCCCCACGTTGTCCCCACGGCCATCACTGCTGCTCTCAGCCACTGTCACTCGGAGAGACAGGTCCTGGGGAGAAGGAGACATGGAAGATTGGGACCAGAACAGCTGAAGGATTCTCCCTGGCTCCAAGGTCCCAGCTTGTGAATACCAAGCCCTGTGAAGTACATACAGCTCTCGGAGTCTTCCCAAATGACTTGGGAGTGGAGACTTGTCCTAGTTGCTTAAAGATGGATAGCCAGCTATGATGTTGACCTCACTAAGTGCTAAAAATGACAGTTCCAGCAGGATTTAGAACCCATCTCTCTCTAGGTGATGGTGGCGTACGCCTTTAATCCCAGCCTCCAAAGCAATGCTTCATACCTCCACCCCCAAAAATCAAAACAAAAAACCCCATCTCTCACTTCTTTGTCTCAAAAAATTTTTTCTTTAAGATTTATTTTATTTTTGAGATTGAAAAGATGGGCCAGCAGTTAAGTACACTTGCTGTATTTTTTTGTTTTTTGTTTTGTTCTTTGTTGTGTTTTTTGAGACAGGGTTTCTCTGTAATCTTGTAGATCAGGCTAGTCTCGAACTCACAGTATAGGGTATAGGTCAGAAGAGTGCACTGGATACCTGGAGTTACAGGCAGCTGTGAACCATCTGATATGGGTGCTGGGAACTGAACTTGGGTCCTTTGTAAGACAAGTATGTGCTCTTCACCATTGAGCCATACCTCCAACCCTACTTATTCTTGAAATAGAGTATCATGTAGCCCAGGCAGACTCTGAACTTGCTATATAGCTGAAGCTGCACTTAAACTCCTGATCTTTCTGCCTTGGCCTCCCAAGTGCTAGGATTACAAGTGCATGCCACCATATCAGGCTTAGAACTTAGGCTGTTTATCTGTTTGTTGGTTGGTCTTAATTTTTTCGGTTTGTTTTGCTTTTTAAAAACAGGTTGTTGCCGGGCGTTGGTGGCGCACACCTTTAATCCCAGCACTTGGGAGGCAGAGGCAGGAGGATCTCTGTGAGTTCGAGACCAGCCTGGTCTACAGAGTGAGTTCCAGGACAGCCTCCAAAGCCACAGAGAAACCCTGTCTTGAAAAAAACCAAAAAAACTCAAAAACCAAAAACCAAAAAAAACAGGTTGTTGTTGTTGTTTTTGTGTGTGTGTGTTTCTTTTTTTTTTTTTTTTTTTTGGGTTTCGAGACAGGGTTTCTCTGTGGCTTTGGAGCCTATCCTGGTACTCACTCTATAGACCAGGCTGGCCTGGAACTCACAGAGATCCGCCTGCCTCTGCCTCTGCCTCCCGAGTGCTGGGATTAAAGGTATATACCACAGTGTTTTGTTTCTAAACAGAAAACATGTATCCCTGTTAGCCTGCAGATCATTATGTAGACCAGGCTGACCTCAAACACATAGAGATCAGCCAGCCTTGACCTCCTGAGTGCCGGAACTAAAGGTGTGTGCTGCCATGGCACCTCACTGTTTAAATTTATCTATAGTTCAGGCTGGCCTCAAAACCCCTACAGAGCAGAGGATGACCTTGAACTTCTGATCCCCCTGCTTCTGCCTCCTGAGAGAGAACACCAGCATGTCTGGTTTATGGGGTGTGTTTGTGCTGGAAACCTAGGATTTTGTGTGTGCTGAATAAGTGCTCTAGCATCTGGGTTTTGGGACTTAGGCCTTTGCTACCTGTTTCTTTGTCTTTAAAAAACGTGACAACATTTCCTACTTCTCAGAGCTGTTTTGGGAAGAAAATAATTAAACACATAGGTGGGGAGAAAAACCTAAAAGCAGATAATGTGTGACCTGGTACTGGCCCATCAACAGGGAGAGATCTCTCACTGGTACTGTTATAATCATGTGGGATCACAGTGGAGGGGTAGGGTTAAGTAAGAACGTATTTGTGATGTTGACCCAACTGATCCTACCTAGTTCCCCCGGAGCTTCATTTTTGGAGGTTGTAGGGAAGTGGCATTGTGACAAACAGGGCAAAGACAGGGGTCAAATCGGTAGACTGTCCAATAAGAGGCAAGATTATGATCCTAGGACCAGCCAGCTATGCTGGAATGTTTCCTGGATTCCTAGATTTGGAACACTCAGAGTGAGGCTGACACCCAACTTTCAAATCTACAGGGGCTGGCAGGGTAGCTCAGTGGTAAAGTGGATGCCTAGCATATGCAAAGCCGTGGGTTCATCATCAGCACTGCAAAACAAAGAAATCCCAAGAGCATCCCTAGGAGGGGAATAGGTAAGCTGTGCAGTCCCTGGGCTGCAGGACAGACTTCAGTACAAGGATAAAAGGACTATCTTATTTTTAGGTATGCCTAAGTATAGAAAGAGGCAGTGAAAGGAGGGAGAGAGATCCCTACTCTCCAACTGGTATGGCTTAAGCTATATATTCTCTGTGGTTCATTCCACCACCCGCTACCAGTATGTGATATCCCTATGTCAGGGGTGTTCTCACAGAGGCAAATAGTCATCTGGAAGCCCTAGGGTAAGAAGATCCTAGTGTGGTCCTTGCAGTAGGGCCTCTGAAGGCTTAGGCCCACACCCCAGGCCCTGGGGTTACCTTTAGCTCATCTTTAGGCAGTGCGGTTCCTCAGAGTTCAGCTCAGCTGTCACCTCCTGCAGAACGTCTCCCCTGACTGCCAATGCAGGGGAAGCTTCCAATGGGGTTTAAAAAGTCTGGGGACTTCCCTACCTATCCTTTGTAGGGATAGAGAAAGCAGTGCCTGGGTCCCCAACTCTCACCACAGGCTGGTGTGTAGTGGGCTCAATCAGTGACTAACTAGAAGAAGGTTGGCTTGAGGTGCCACAAGGCAACACTGGAGGGATGCGCTGGCCCAGAGTCCTGTGAGGACCCAGCGCACCTCACCTGTAACACGATGGCTGGTACTGAGAAGATCATGGCTTCATTGAACACCGGGTTGGGGTCATCCCTCTTCACAGCTGTCTTCTTCTTGCTCATCTTCCTCCCATCCTGCAGCAGGTATACTTTGACGAAGGGGTCTACAGGCAAGTATTTTGGGGAAGGTCAGTAACACGCTTGCTTGGCATGACCCTGTCTACTCTGGTTTGTTTGTTTATTTGTTTATATTACGAAACGGAACCAGCTGGGTGTCGGTGGTGCACAACTTTAATCCCAGCACTTAGAGGCA